TTGCTGAGCTTTTCGCTCATTAATACAGTGGCAATAACAGGCATCCTCCCCCCTCCCCACCAGAATGGATGAGCCACTGGGACGGATCACAGTACCTGTGGGATAGCACCGTAATTCCAGATGTAGCCCTTGTGGGGAAACACGTTGGCTACGTAGCGCAGTTTTCCTTTCTTCACATCTTGCTTAATTGGGTTTAAGGGTTCCTTTGTTGCAATCTGAAAGAAAAGTTACATAAATCCCTCTGCTTTGCTCTCTATGGAAAAAACAAGTGATTTTTTTTTTTAATGGAACTGACAAGCCAAGAGACCAGGAGCTGACCCTGAAGCCAACAGCAGATACTGGACAGCTCTGTTTTCCTGTTGCATTGCCATCTCCTGGGATATAGTTTTCAGCAGACTCCCAAGCATCAGAATCACATGGGGTTAAGAGCCATAAAATGCTGCTTTAATCAGAAGCCACAGAAGAATACCCAGGCAAACTTCTGCAATCTCAGCTTCCATGCCAGACCTCTAGCATTGAACAAGTACTGACAGGAGAAGTTAGAAACCACTCTGATTCTGGAGGTGGGATTGAGAAGAAGAGAATCAGCAGAGCCAAAGATTAAGACTTAGTCAGCTCAAGCCCCTTTGCTAGGAACTGTAATATAGTTACCTCCATTTTAGCATTTGTCCATCGAGGTACTTCCACAACCATGTTGAACACATTCTGAAGAAAGCAAAACATCAATGAGTGGGAAGGAAGACCACACTTTAAACTAGGAAACACATGCCAGCCAGCTCCCATGAAACCCTAAGATTTTTTTCTGTGGGTTTTTTTTTTTTTGATGCAGCTGATGAAACTCCCATAGCCCAGTCAGTCACATGTCATCACTTAAAGCTGAATCCCAGAAAAGACCCCAGCAAAGGCCAGATTGAGGTTACCCACACATTCTGCAGGTTACCCCCACATTCTCCATCAGTTGCCACCTACAAACATCCCCATCACATTCCTAGGACACAGAACAGCAGGTTAAATGAACTGAAGACAGCTGCATACAAACTATCCTGGACGTAACAAAATGAGGTTTGGGGCATATTTATTAAATACAAAGTGCTTAATGTTCCAGCAAGGGCTGCTCTGGCCATCTAGAAAAGATAAGACTAACAGGAACAAGCCACCAACTTAATAATGTGGGTATCTATGTTCTGCCCTGAATGACTGAGGACATCGCTCCCAAATATCTGTCATGATGTAGGGAAGGATGCCCTCTCTCCAAGCTGACACTCCTATAAAAGAAGACCTCGTTAGTGGCATGGTGTGAGGATAAAGGTGGGGGAGGAGAAATGCAGAACCACATCTTGCAGTATTTAGTTTACAGGTGATGCTTGAAAACATCTCCTGTTGATCCCGTTGGGCTGAGGCCTCTTGAGAGCTCAGTGTCAGTCTCCTCATCCAGAAAAGCTTTTCCACACTTGAACCTCAACATCTGCTGCTTGAAGAGATTATGGCTTTTCAATAAAAAGTCAAACCTTGCTCCCTAGCCTGGACAAGGTTTCTAATCCCCACCTTAAGCTGTATTAGCACAGCAAAGTCCCTCGAACGTGTATTGCACCATTATTAGACTGATACTGTGCAACAAGCACTGCTACATCACTGACTTTGCTCACACCCTGCCCTAGCAGAGGTTTATTACCCCTCTTAATTGCAGGGGTCACTGCTCATTTGCGTTTTGCATGTAAAAAGGTACACCCTATTTTTATTCCTAACTGGAGGAGAGGAATGAGGCACTGGGATCAGGCTGGGCAGGGTGCTCACAGCTCTGCAGGCAGGGAAAGGTGACTTGGAGCAGGATCTCTGTAAGGCTTGGAGTTCCCCCACTGTCAGATCTGCCTTGGCCTAAGACACTCAGTGAGCAGCCCAAGGTCGTTCCAAGGCATTCAGGTACAGATAAGACCAACACAATCCAGCCCCAGACCGGAAAAAAACACCCTGCAATCCTCTCAGTGTCTTAGGAGTCTAAGGATAAAGATCAAGGAGCCCAGACAGAGTGAGACAACCTTTTGCTCCGAGCTGGGCTCTGTAACAGAGCTGGCAACCCACCTGCTCAGTAATGAGTTAAACCTCAGTGCAGAGGCACTCGAGCCACAGAGGGAGGCCTGGTGTGATCAGCACCATTGTGTAACTTTGGGGACTGAGACCTTCAGTGCCTGGGACTCTTTTCTCTGAATGACTTGGCACGGAGGTGCTGGCAGCAGCCCTGTGTGCCTCAGGTAAACACTAGTAGCTTGGTTTCCCCTGTTAAGCATTACCAGTCCATGGAAATTCTCCCCACCCCTGTGCTCACTCCCCTGCTCCTTCCTCCCCTGGTCTGCAAGCATCTGCAAAGCAGGATTATCCGGATTTGCCTTGTCTGGGGTTACTTTTCAGACACCTGCACTGAAAACTGCTTCCCCACTCGGCCATAGGAACTGCTTCACCTCTGTCCTTGATGACTACAATCCATCATTTCCCTTCTGAGCAGGCAAAAGCCACCTCAGGCTTCCTGGAGCACCCCAGGTAGCGCCATCACCTCCACCTCAGTAGCTCAATCCGCTGCTTTTTTTAGACGTTCATCTCTCAACTCAGAATATTCTTTTCCTTTCCCAGAACCACTCTACACCTCCGAATTACATCTCTGTCTAATGAACATTAGCTCATCCACTGCATTTCTCAAGCTGCACAGCTTTTTAGTACATATTAGAGGAAGAGATGAGCTACAACAGCACAGAACACAGTCAGAGAGCTCAAGGTGCCAGTGAATATCCAGTCAGTGAAAAATGAATCACAACCATTTTGGCTTCCTGGAGCTGGGGCTTTTTTGGTTCAGAACAGCCTAATTTGACTCACAGCTGGCTGCTGAAAGGATGTGAAAGCCCTGCAGCACCGCATGGGGCAGGTTCTGAGAGGCACAAGGTCCTAGGAGATGCTAAAGCAGGAATTCAACATCCTTACCCTCTGTTCAGTGTTGGATTGCACTGCAGGCATAAAGTGGCTGCACTGCAGTCAAACCCCAAGCCTGAAATATGCAGCACCCATAGGAGTGGATGTAGATATTACAGCTGAACAGAAAACCGCTTTTTTTAACCCAAAACCCCTTTATGGGTAAGCTCAAGCCAACCACTCACATCTCAGATGCAAAAATGAGAATGAGATCACCCATTCTCTTCTCCTGGGTCACTCCACCCGAGGCCAGGACAGCAAGAAACCCACTCCCTGCACAGTCAGGTGATGCCTCCCTCAGGTGCTCCTGCAGTGTGGGGAGCTGGGAGCCTCCCCCGGGTGTTCCACCCCTGATCCCTGGGTGTTTCAGGACCCCCTGGATGTTTTGGGATCCACTGATCCCCAGGTATTTCAGGACCCCCAGTTCCCTGGGTGTTTCAGGACCCCCGGATACTTCAGACCCCCAGTTCCCCGGGTGTTTCAGGACCCCCTGGATGTTCCAGGACCCCCTGATCTCTTGAGTGTTTCAGGACCCCCTGATCTCCTGGGTTTTTCAGGATCCCCCAAACTCTGAGTTTTTCAGGACCCCCGATCCCTGGGTATTTCATGACCCACCGATCCCTTGGGTGTTTCAGGACTCCCTGGATGTTCCAGGACCTCCAGATCCCCCTGGTGTTTCAGGATCCCCTCTTACCTTCCCGGCGTCCGCGTAGATGGGGATATCGTGGAAGGGGGAGATGTATCGCCCGGCGGCATCCTCTGCAAGGCAAAGGGAGAAACGGGGGGGGGCGAGTGAGATGCTGAAGGACACGCGGGCAGGACCCACGCGGGCGCGCAGGGGAGCGACGCGGGCGCGCAGGGGAGCGACGCGGGTGAGGGAGAAGCATGCCCGGCAGGCTTCCCCGCGGCCCGCCGGGGGCTGTGGCGCCGTGTCCGGCGGCACTCACTGAAGAAGAGCCGGTACTCGGCGCTGTGGGGCGCGGCGCGCTCTTCCACGCTGAACCCCGACATCGCTGCCGCCACTCCGCGCATGCGCCGCGCCGCGCCCCCCCGACCGCGCACTGCGCAGGCGCCGCAGAGAGACCGGGACCGCCCTGCGCCACGCGGCGGGAATGGGGTGGGATGGGACAGGGACGGGGATGGAATGGGACAGGGACAGGGACAGGGACAGGGACAGGGACAGGGATGGGCTGGGATGGGACGGG